TGCAGCGCAATATCAGACAGACATGGTTTTGTATTGTCCACCAGCTAAATCACACTGCAATATAGATGTTCAGATTTCAGCTGCATTTCCTGTTTGAAAGGATTGGTGTTTGCAATCAAAAATACAGTCCTTTTTGTGTTTTTTGGATGGCGGGGGGGGGGGGTTAGATAAGATGTGCAGTTCCACACAGTGTCACATCCAAAGCCATGAGGAAAGAGACCTAAAATACAATCACAGTCCTGCTGATAACAATATGACAGTTTACAGAAGAATGGAAAGTTTGATAGCTGTGTGAAAGCGGCCTATTGAGCTGTCTGCGTGTGTATATGTCAGCGCATTGAGCTGTGGGCTAGACGCAACGATAGAGGGTTAGAGATAAAAGATAAGTGACCGAGCAGGGGATAATGGCTTGAATGGAGAGAGAAAGAGCCTCAAAAAGGTTGGAAGATAAGAAAAGACATAGTTATACTTTAAATATCTCAACAGATATATAGTCAAAATAAGAGGAGATGGTGTCATAAATGCAAGGAGAAAGAGCGAGGTTTGAGTGAAAGCGAGAATGACAAGGGGAACGGGGGTTTGGCTGGAGACAGATAAGTGTGAGATTCCTATCTAAAGATGACAGAAGATTAATTTCTCAGACAGGCATCTTTGGTGGGATTGCCAAGAAAAGGCCAGACAGTTTGACATTTTCTCTCCATCTCTCTTTCTCCTTTTCTCCTCTCTCTCCCTGCCTCCCTCTATCGTTCTCTCGCCTCTTCTTCCGGGATGGTGGAAGTATGACTGCGATAACATGGTGATAAGAAACATGTCTACGTGTGCAGCTATCTTTGAAGCCACATGGTTTTGCTTCAGCCAGTTCAGACTTCATACTGTGAGCCAGTTTGTCGCACAGCAACAGTATTCTCTTCATTTTACACTGAAAAAGAGAATAATTAAAACATCTAGGATCTGACTGGAAGTTTTTTCAACTAGTAGTCATGAGCTCAAGTAAATCACATTGATAAGATGCATTTCTGTATTTGAGTGCACATTTTTTAGGTTGAATCAGAGCATTGTTTTAGTTTACGTGTTGGTGAGCATTATTCACCTTTTATTTTTGCTTGCAAAGGAGCACTTGTACCATTTATAGACTTAGAGTTATATGAATATAAGTGTTTAATGGTGTAGAGCAGGGGTGTCCAACTCCAGGCTTCAAGGGCTGGTGACCTGCAGGTTTTAGATGTGTCCTTGATCCAACACAGCTGATTTAAATGGCCAAATTACTTCCTCAACATGTCTTGAAGTTCTCCAGAGGCCTGGTAATGAACTTATCATTTGATTCAGGTGTGTTGACCCAGGGTGATATCTAAAAACTGCAGGACACCAGCCCTCGAGGCCTGGAGTGGGGTATTCCTGGTGTAGAGCTATATATTGGCATGCATATTGTAGCCTGAAGCCTCTAGCATGTAGCAGGGATATGAAGTACTTTACAGTGGGGTGGTGCTGTCTGTGGACCCAAAGACATTTATAGACTGAAGTGCTTTTTGTCACATTTGGAGTGGTAACACTCATAAAAGGTTAAAGTGAAAATAAGGGCATATACACTCAGGTAGGATGGGTGTTTAATTTAGAGATGGACCGATCCGATATTACGTATCGGTATCAGTCCGATACTGACGTAAATTACTGGATCGGATATCGGAGAGAAATAAAAAATGTAATCCGATCCATTAAATATCAAAAAAGCACCTCACAAAACTTGCGACACGGCGTAACTTGGCTCATAACCGTAGCACGTCAGAGCAGTGTGCGTCACGTAATAGAGCGGCTGTGGCCTGCAGATCTGTTGTCTGGTTCAGCATTTGTAGCCTCGCTATCAAACCAGCATTTCATCTCCGATGACGTTATCCCAGAGAGAAGTAAAGCAAGAGTGTAAGTTCATTTCTGAATGTTTGTAAAGCATTCCCACATTAAACTTAACAACCGATATATGGAGCGACTGCCTCTTTTCTCTCTCTCCCTCTACTGCTGCTACTTCAATCGTGAAACTGATTAATGATCAACTGATCGGCTATTCTGTCGCAAGTCCGTCTCTCTTGTTTGTTTTTGGCCCACTTCGTGCCAGAAAGAGGAAACCAGCGGCTGAACAACAGCAGCACATTTAAACTTGATAAGCTGTTGTTAGAATTTATTTAATATTACTTTCTACACCAGAATCTTTTTCTACGTAGCTGACGGCTGGTAACTGTGCAGGGGCGGATCTAGCAAAGTTTAGCCAGGGGGGCCGATAGGGCATGAACAGGGAAAAGGGGGCACAAAGACATACTTTTCTTTCTTATTC